CGAGTTTTGCTGGCGACGAACGCCCCGGCCGCCGGACGGCCTGTATGTTGGCTTTATTAACTGGAAGATACACAACTCGACGCACCTGAACTAAACAGGATACACGGCTAAATAGCCTTGCCCACATGCACACGGGAGCCACTATTGCCCGGGTCTCATGCATGCTCGCACGTTCCACAGCTTCCGAGCCACACACTCATATGCTGCACGTGCGCCGCATGAAACGGTCCTCTGACCAAGCCACACCTCCAAACGTGCCTGGCTAACATGCAGTAGCTAATACTACTCTACCGTATACTCAACACATGCAAGTCCAGAGACTAGCTAACAACCTGTTGTGCAACACACGCACACTCTAACTTGCTAACTAGCCTAATCTACATGCAAATGACTCTTGAATCCTCCACGAGAACACATCTCGTTTTGGATGACACAGACTACGTACATGACACACATGTACATGGCCTATATGCAATAACTCAAATAACCAAGTCATGATTATTCCTAACAAGTATGTCGTGACCAAGCCCTGTCGTGGCCTCGTTCTAATCCGAGCCACCGACTGTGACGGCTACTACGTCGTCAACCCTTGCTCCGGTGAGGCCCTGGGTCTGCCAGACAGCCAGGTGCCTTTTAAGATGGCATACAAAACTTCAGGAAGACCCGTGGAGCCACCCTGCTATCTTTGGGTCTCCTATGGCCTTGGTTACTGCACGACGAGGAAGGAGTACAAAGTCGTGCGCTTGTTCTCCAACCTGTCTTCCGGCCCTGAACCTGGAGATGGAGGCGGTGGCTTTACGCCCACGACATACGAGGTCTTCGTCCTCGGCACAACTGGAACTGGTTACTGGAGGCCTAGTGCTGAGAGATCTCCCTTCTGCTCCGTGCCGCAGTGGAACCCAACTGTCTTCTTAGACGCCTATCTGCACTTCCTATGCTTTGACGGTGGCATCGTCACTTTCAGCATCGGTGACGAGACCTTTGGTTCGCTGCTTCCGCCCCCAGGTTTCGGCAATGTGGCCGCGGCCGCATCCGTGCTGACGGAGCTGGACGGGCGTTTGTGTGTGTGCTATGGGGAGCCAGACAGTGACGATCCTTTGGTTCTATGTGTTCATAACAACAAGGAAGCCTGGTGGGAGAAGCTTTGCCGTATTGATCGGACGGCTTGGCCGGAATCGGAGCGCATGCTTCTCAAGTCACTCTGGATTGCCCCAATAGGTGTATATTACTCGGCTCCTGGGGATCTGAAGATCATGTTTGGGACAGGCTCTTGCAAGGTGTTTGCAGTGGACTCCAATGGCGTCGGCGGCGATCCAGAGATTCTATTGAAGCCAGAGGATACCATCATTTGGGAGCTGCGAGGATGACTATTTGCCGACGATTGGTCTATATGAGGAGAGTCTCGTGCCCCTGGGCCGCACAATTGAGGACATGATCTTCTCATCGCCAACAGCCGCAGCTTGGTTCAACATCCTCAAGTGGCTGCCGGCACGCTCCCTTTCGGAGCTAAGAATGGTCTGCAAGGAGTGGCGTGGAATGATCATGAGTGATTGTTTCATCCGGTCGCATGTCATCCACGCAAACTGCTTGAAGAGGAGCCCACATATCATGTTCATCATCGACCCTACCTTTGGTCACTATGTGCATCTGGAGGAATGCATTCGTGATCCAAGATTACTAATGCCATTTCCGCCAGAGTTTGTTGTGTGTTCCCAGCCTTGCCACGGCCTTAATGTGGGGAATTGGTCTCATGCAAATTATTTCATATGCAATCCTATCATGAGGTACTTTCAGTGCATAACATTTGATGATGGCGACGAGACGTTCTTCGCTGGTCGTATTGGGTTGGGTTACAACACAAAGATTGACGAGCATGTCTTGGTGCATATCAACTACAAAGAGAAGAACCTAGAAACGAGATCTTATGAGCTGAACTGCCCTAAGAAGCATGTGAATGGCGAGGAGTGGTATCCAATAGACCCTCCTCCTAGACCAGTAGCTCCCGTACAGCCGACCTTCGTCAATGGCAAGATCTACTGGATAGTAGAGACTAATCTTGGACCGGTTTCTGCAAGATGTGAAATCATTGCGTTCGATGTCAAGACAGAGGAGTTTGAAGTCCTGCAAGGTCCACCGTGCGCCCATGGCGTTGGACATATGACCATCCTCGAGCTCTATGGTACACTTTGTATTTCATATTCAGGCCAGAGCAGGAACACGGTTGATCTATGGATGATGAAAGATGCTGGTATCTGGTTTATGGAGTATCATATAGTGCTTGACGAGTTATCAAAGAAGGCTGCACCATTGGCTGTTGACCCAACGGATGGACGGATTTTGCTCAACACAGGTTTGTCATTGGGCTACTATGACCCCAAGACAACAGCGTTTGAGACCCTCATCATCGTCAGACCGCATCCCAGATTGCCCTGACGACTATGAGATCTATCCTATTGTCTGCCATGAAAGTTTAGTTTGCCCGCTACAGTACTAGGTGCCGTCCTACTTTCTGTGTTCTTAGGCTCTTAGCTAGGATGCCCATTGATGGTTTGCCTTTGTTCGACAGAATCATTTCCACAAGAAGTTAAAGCATGTGACGCCAATACATTGATGATTATGATTATGTAGCCTTGGCTGTAGTTAATTTCCTAGCATCTGTGTTGCATCTTCTTGTCTGAATAAATCATAAAAAAAAACTCAGCTCTTCTGTGTTCACAGAATAGCCTTGGCTGTAGTTAATTTCCTAGCATCTGTGTTGCATCTTCTTGTCTTAATAAATCATAAAAAAAACTCAGCTCTTCTGTGTTCACAGAATAGTGCCAAGATAGTTTTATACCTGTTTTTCTATGAAACCCATCTTACTTTGCATTGCAAATTTGCATAGCAGGAAGGAATGACCATTATTTTGGTTCTATGTTGTTTGAAATGATCATGTAAAAACTCAGCTCTTTTGCATTCATAAATTAGTGTCAAGTCAAATATGGATCTATTTTAATTTATCAAACCTATCTTTATCCAATTTCAAATTTGCACAGTATGAAGGATGGTTAATATTCTGGTTGTATGAGCTCTAGCATTTTGGTAACTTTGGAAAATAATTACTTAAGGTTTGCATTTTTTTTGTTTGACTATCTTCTGATGGATGTCCTCCTCGCTGGACACCGGTGCATATTCATCTGAATTAGACTGGTCATACACGGTCTCCTTTTGCTGTCAATTGATGAATCTCCTCGTTGATTATTATTTACCAGAATTAATTATACATATCTCAGTTTGACCATCAAAAGATGAATATCCTCACTGGTTCTTATATCACCAAAATTACACGTCTCAGTTATAGCAGAGCCTGAGATGTATGTTCTTACCGGTCCTATTTTTTTCATGTTTGTTCGAATTGCATGAGAGCTCAAAATTTAGTTTCTCTAAAGATAGTTGCACAAGATATTATTATATTGTTCAGACTTGTTGTAATTGAATGGTGCCTTCAATTTTATATACATAATAAAGTACACAAAAATAGAATATATCAAAGTTGAATTCGGTTATAAGATCAGTGGCAAATGATTTTTATTATACTGTTCGCCTGCATTCCAATTTTGTAAGAGATCAAGAAACGGTTAAGTAACAATCAACATGTTATTAAAGTGACAATCAGCAAGTAAATAACCCTTGAGTCATGACATGTTTTGAAAGTTGGCAGTTGGCCAGTTGCCGAACATGGCAGGCCAGAACCTACACATCAATGATGCGCTTGTTTCGGAAGAAGAACATCACCTACTTGTCAACACGAAAGTACTAGCAATAGTGTTCTTGTATTTGAATCGGCTACAGTTAGAAGTAGTGCACCCCCAAGATCCCAGAACATCATCTACTTGTCAACAGTATGCCAAAACACCAATAGCTAGTCAAACTTTACAACTCTGACTAAGCAAAATCACTGCAATTTACACTTTTAATTAGCACCAGTAAGCAGCTTAGATGAACAATATATTAAACCTGCATAGTCATCAACTCACCGTACCTCTACAAATTCGTGACCGCACAGGTTCAACATCCACACGCCATGTCCATGTCCAATTGACAAGTAGTTCCAAAAGACAAAGGAAAATATTCACAAAGGCACATGGTCTTAGGACCAATAATTATACATTTAAAATTTTTAAGGACTTAAAATTTAAAGGTGAAGTGGAATATAACTTTTTATCTAAAAACCAATAATGCAGAATGCATTATTTATTAATAGTAAGAAAATCTTGCAGAGATAAACTAAATCTTTCCCATTCTATTCCCACATAGGACTAACAAACTATCCTCTAAAAAAATAGCTGAAGATGACAACAATTTAAATTTCAACAATACAAACATTTTTTTATAAGCTAAAGTAGTACTGCTCCCCTGGGATCCCCAATCCTGTACCATACCCAATACGAATCACAACATAAATGAACCCAACCGAGCTTGCTTTATACCGACAAATGTTCGCATTTAATTTACTGGAGCTAAATTAGCAAAGTCAATACACTTCACCTTCCTGCTTGACTCGGTGCTCCTAAACCCCGTCCTGCCATACATATGGCCATCATCTCCACAACAGACCCTAAACCCCAATTTCACGAAGTCCTCACCGGGACTATCAACCCCCAAGCCCATGACTGCGTCCCAAATAACAGCACAAGAGACATCCACAAACATGAATAACAACTAAATGCAAGCAAATTTCACCAATCAGGCCTCACTAGTAGAAAGCTAAGCTTAGGCAGTCGAGGAGCCAGTTACCTGCATGCATGTCTCGTCCCAGTCAATACACTTCATGGGAGAGAGAGATCGGTTCCTTGAATATGAAAGCTGGCGAAGAGATGAACCGACTCTTTTTTTAGGGAGGAGATGAACTGACTCTAATTGAACGAGTTCTGCCGTTCTGGAGTCGGACTCATGCTGGGCCCGGTTCCTTTAATTTTCTGCCCAATACAAACACTGGGCTAGGCTCTCTCCATCACTCTATGGCTTGGCCCATGAAGTGTGCTCTCAATGCACAAGGTGTGAGGGGTTAACCAACGTGGGATGAAAGTAGAGCATATATATGTTGCTATGGCTTGGCCCATGAAGTGTGCTCTCAAACACGCAGGAGAGCTGTGTATCATTATATTAAGAAGAATAAAGGAGTGGGTTTAAAAACCCCATACAGCCACGCACCTACACACACCCTTTTACATCTAATATTGTACCTCTCTCTCTCAAATTCAAACTTGACCCAAGACCACTGGAGAGGAACTCACACATTGGCTGGCTCTAGAGCAAGGAGTTTTGTTTTATGTTTGTGCTTATGTATGTGGTTTGTGCATGTCTAATCATAGCAGTAATTTCAGCTAGAGAAAGAGTGTCGAGTAGCATTTTTCAGTTAAGTTATGATTGCTAGAGAAAACGAAAACACTGGTTCTAGGACTGCATGCATTTCTTTCTAATCTTCAACTTTAAGTTTTTGTTTTGATATAATCTCTCGGTGACATAAGGACCCAATCGATTGACACTTGCAATAAAAAACATACTGCAAGGCTTGTCAGTTGTAAATCCAAATATATTTTTGAAGGTAGTGATAGCCTTGAAAGCCTACCATTCAAGATACAGTACATGTACTCTTCAGTTGCCTTGTGATGGTGTCTTTCCTCAAATGGTAGTTCATAATGAAGCGCTAGAATTGTCACCTGTAGTTGCATTTTTCAGTTAAACAAACGTGGTGTAGAAAGATGATACTGCAATTAATTTAAAGAATAGTTTATTGGTGGATAACACAAAGTTTGTCTTAGGTTGTCTCCAACATGAGACTCATTGCGGAACCCAAACCCAAAATGGGTCTCCAGCACAATACCTATAGTCTCCAACAGAGTACCTATATGGAAGACCCATTTTAGGTGCAAGGAGAGGCATAACCCAAATCTGAATATCATCTCTTCTGGAGACCCATTTGCAGAAAGGGTTGTCTTTTGGGTCTTGTTGTTGGAGAAGACAAAAATAAGTATTGAACCATTTAACTGTAGCGCTACCAAAAGGAGAAATGGGTCATGTATTTTGAGTCGCGGTTGTTGGAGAGAGTTTTAGAATCAAACATGGCTCAAATGGGCCTATGGCCCCGTTCGCTGGAGAAATGGGCCTATGGCTCCGTTCGCTGGTCTAAAATTTAGTTGAAATTGGCTGAAAAACACTGCTCCGGCTGAATTATTGTGAGAGAAAAATATTGTTTCGGCTAAAAAAAAGAAGCCGAACAATCAAATATGAGGTAAGCCGAACAGGGCCCTTAGGGTCCTTTGTTTTTTCTTTAACTGGCACACTTACTCCTGACATTCTTTCTTCATTTGAAGAGGAAAAAACCTCTAACTGTAGGATTGTAATGTGGAAGGTTCTGTACATGGATTTTAAAAAGTATGTCAGTACATTGTCACATTTTACACTTCTGAAAAACTAATAGGACTATACATGATGTTCAGCAACCGCATAGTTAGATCCATCCATTCCATGTTTGATGCCTGCATTCACTTCATCTTTGTTACAAATTGCAATTGCATTGTCGCGTACGGTGGATTCTGTCTATGACCTGTTGTGTGACTTGTGTATTTCCTCACTTCTCAGGTACAGCAATCACCCCTGCCCCCACCGCCACCACCACCACCTCCACCGGCGCCGCACCCATGCGCAAAGAGGCTGGCAATCGGACCGCCTCCGGGGTTCGCGGGTGTTCGCACGCCACCGCAGAAGCAGTACCAACGCCGTCCACCAGGGCCGAAGGCGCCGGCGCAGCCACCACACCAACCGGCGCCGCCGAACGCCCACCGCGCCCTGGCCCCACCAGCGCTGAACGCACAAAGGGCGGGGCATGCTTCGCAGCCGCCGGCGGCAGGCGCACACGGCGCCGCCACGGCCGCGCCGCCAGTGCACGCCGGCCCCACCAGCGCCGTGGTGCCCGCGCTCCAGCGAAGGACGGCGCCCAAGCCACCTCACCCAGCGGCGAAGAAGAAGCCCACCGTGCCGTGCGCCTTCTGCGGCGTGCTGTGCATGACGGCGTGGCACCTGAAGCAGCACGAGCAGGGGCGGAAGCACCGCAACAGGGTGGCCTTGCTCGCCGGGGAGATGAACGTGCGGTGCAAGGTGTGCGACGTGCACCTCTCCAGCGGGCTCAACGTCGAGCAGCACAACGCCGGGAAGGAGCACCTCCTGCGACTCAAACTCAACAGAGGAGCCTGAAACGCACGGTTGCCCCTTTTACTTTAGTGGCGGCACGCATGCTTATGACTTGCACTATCTGCTGAAACTACATATATGACTTAAAACAATATATGTGATGATACTATATGTTTAGTTCGCTTGAACTTATCAGCCGGTTTATCAGCTAGAATCTACAGTATTTTTCTCTCATAATAAAACAGCTTCAGCCGGCTTTAATACCAGCCGAACATGCCCGTTTGGACACTGTTTATATATTTTCGTTAGCATCTGCTACTGGAACTATCATTTGGATTGTGTACTCTGTAATGGATTCTCAGATTTGTTGATGTGTTTGACTCTGCTATGTCCGGCTCCTTATTATTTATGTGTGCTCTCTTCGATGCAGTGGTTATTAGGATTGTTTTATGTGTCCTATTCCATTATCTGTCCTTTGAAACCATGTATCGTGAAGCTTAATTATTTTGTTTCCTGAGGTCTCTGAAAGTCTTAGGTGATGCGTATGCGTATCCATCTTTTCATTGCATTGCTCCAACGACAGTACGTAACGTGTGGTTGGCAAAAGTGAGCATAGCACGTAGCAGTGAAAACTGACATCATCTTCCTCTAGTCTAGTTCTCCAGTTTGCATCGCCCTAATCCAGCTTCCTGACTCCTGAGATACAGCTAATTAAGCCGAACACAAGTTTTTGTTATATGCCAAAGCAACAGGTGTGCCCGGGCCATGCCTCTAGTCAATTGTCGTTACTCGTTAGACAACCAATCGTAGCTACCTCTGAACGCGTCGAACAAACTGTGGGTACGGTGTGGGTGCATTGCAGGTAGATGCAACTCCTTTTGTTTCCTTTTCAGTCAGCAAACACATGGATTCTTCATTCTTCTGGCTTACGGCAGGGCAGCTGGGCTTTGGCATTGGCAACGTCGGACACGTACGGTTGGTTAGTTACTTTTCAGTTTTTCACTTTGTGGTTTGTAATACATGATGATCTCGTCAGGGTCAAAGGTGGCTGCAGTTTGGTTTGGAAGGCAGCGCACCTACTAGAACAAACACAGCAGCAATGCGATGGATCACCTATCCATTATGTACGAGGAACAAATCCAGATAAAATCTTGTCAAGACTGCTTACACATACCGGAAGCAACCACGATTCCACTGTGTCCAATCACAGCGAGCAAGCTGAAGCAGCTCCACACGCCATCATATATTTGTGGATGCCGACTGCTGCATGTGCTTAACTATAGTTAACTACTATAACCTACGTAACTGCAAGCGTCTTCCGGCCTTTGAGACGGCAGTACTTGAGTTGAGTTTCCACGATCTAGCTCAGCGACCCCCGCGACCCGTGCGTCACCTGCATGCGGGCTGCGGCCTTTTGCCGGGACGCGTGGGAAAAAACAGTAAAAGCTAGCGGAAACCACGGGCGGTTCGGCGCGGCCTCCTAGAGGTCGCACGCTAACTGTTCGTGACGCCGACACGACGCGAGATGGCGAGGAGCCGCGGAGGCGGAGGCGCCATGCAGTGGCTGGGCAAGGGGGCAGTGGTTGCGTTTGGTCACCACTCGGCACTTGCCAGTCGATCGCCACCACCGGCCGGCATGGGCATGGCACCGATCAGGGCAGGACGCGCGAGCGGGCGAGACACGGGCGCTCGGCTCGGCCACCAACCAGCCATCCTCCTCCTCCCCCGTCCGGCCGTCCCTGACAGGGCCGTCAGGCGCGCGATTTTTCTAACAACTGCCGCCGCGAGTCCGATCGAGTTGGCTGTGCGCCTGCGCACGGTACGCCCCACCGGTTGGATGGCGTGTCCGATCCGTCGCGGGCGACAGCGGCAGTCCGGGACGGGTGATCCGGATGCTCTGCATTAACGGCGATCGATCAATATTTGTAGACAAGCAATGTTTCATCATCAGTCAGTGAAATAAAGCCTGGTCTACAGTTTTCTCCCGCAGCGATAAATCGTCGGCCACCGTAGCTACAGGAAATAAGGAGGACGTTCCACCAGACACACTGCGTCATCGACATCCATCGCAGCAGTAGCATGCAGATTAAAGAAAACCATGTAATGGAATCAACAGGCAAGAGCACTGCCACGTCATTAAGAGGATGGGTACGGTGTTGAGGGCCGGATTATTTTTAAAACAGAAATACTATACAACACACATGCGTTTTGTTTTTTCGTTGGCACACGAATTTTGTGTCCGTTGGATGGGCATCGTGTGCTTGTGCTTGCCACCGCCGTTTGTTTCTCTGTGTTGTGGGTCCCGATTATCAGTGCTACTGTTTAATTTCTTTTGGACTCCGCGCTTGATTTTGTGTCGTCCGTTTCCCCATTTTCCCATCCTTATTTCGTTTCGACTTCCTCTCGTCGACTCCCGGCATGCTCGACGACCTGCGGCACGCTCGACACCCGCTACGAGGCCACGCGCGCCCGCGTGGAGGGCGTCCGCGTGTTACATCTCGAATTTTGTTAAATAAATGGCAGCGACAGAAAGAAAAGGATTATTAGCGTTGGTTAGAAAAGCAAGAATACCAGCGTCAACAAAAAAAAAAGAGAGGTATGAAAGAAAGCAAGCTGAATCACATTGGAATTGTCCTTTCTTCAGATATTGTTGGAATGAAGGTTTGAAATTGCCTACTAGAAATAATTGCCCAGAGTGCAGTGAGCAATATTAGGAGTTTAGGCAATCTCAAGCCAACCGCCGGTCTATCCATGCTTGAGATGAGTATCATCATAATAATATGTATCGACGCTTAAAAAATAGAAGTGTTCATGATCGGTTTGGAAACCGAGTTGTTGATTAAAACTAGGCTGATTGTGGAGAAGAAGATAATAAAGAAGAATATGTTTGGCAGGAAGGCCAATGGTGTCCAGGACGTTTGACGAGAAGCTAGAAAAGAAGGGTGCAACGCCTAAGGAAAAAAGAGCTAAAACAGTCTCGGGCATCTGGAAGACCTCAAGTGTGGCGTGCTAAACAAACAGCCGATAGGGGTCAGCCATCGGCTAATATTTAAATGGTTTTTCTGTTGCCATCAGAATTCAGGGCTCCAGCAGATCAAGAGGTCTATTCAGATTTTGATGAATCGGAGTATGAAGAAATAGTTGCCAAGTTGACAGTGATACAGCAAGCTATATTCGATAAGTCAGTCAAGCATTGGCACTTAAAAGCTTTATATGTAAAAGGTTTTGTTGATGGGAAACCAATTGAAAGCTCTTGTTTGGTTTTGATGAATTGATGAAATCTTAAGTGCTAACCTAGTTTATCAAGTGATCATGAGATAGGTAGCACATTTCAAGTGGTGAAGCAAATGAAGATCATCACATGATGATGGTGATACTATGGTGATGATCAAGTAATTAGACTTGAAAAGAAGAAAGAGAAAAACAAAAGACTTAAGGCAAAGGTATAAGTTGTAGGAGCCATTTTATTTTAGTGATCGAGACACTTAGTGAGTGTGATCACATTTAGGATCGATGGTCGTACTATTAAGAGGGGTGAAACTCGTATCAAAATACGGTTATCGAAGTGCCACTAGATGCTCTAACTCATTACATATGCATTTAAGATCTAGTGGAGGGCTAACACCATTGAAAATGTTTGTGAAAATATGCTAACACATGTGCACAAGGTGATACACTTGGTGGTTGGCATATTTGAGGAAGAATGAAGAAGATAGAGGTGAAAAGGAGTTAGTCGCGCTGGTCACAGAGTGACCGGACGCGTCCGGTATGGTGACCGGACACGTCCGGTATTAACGACGAGCTCAGTGACTGGACTGGACGCGTCCGGTGTGAATCTGCAAAGTCGATGTTCGGTGAAACAATTGATCGGACGCTGGCAGCGTCTGGTCCAGAGTGACCGGACGCGTCCGGTCGACCGTGGGTGCTTACTGGACTCAACCGGACGTTGAGGCTCAGCGTCCGGTCAGTTTCTAACAGACACGTCCGATCGGCCTCGGGTACTCTCTGGACTCGGTCGGACACTACAGCTCTCATGAAAAACATGGATCAAGATGTTAGAGGCATTCAACTTTCAAATGCCATGAAGAACATGGATGTTGGTGAATTGAGGCCTAGGCAAGTGAATGATGATGAAGATGATCAAGTGCAAGTGCTCTCTAACTCAAATGTGCAAGATGATACAAATTAAGCTAGTACAAGTGACTCTCATGAAAATAAATAAGATCAAGTGGCTAGTACATCATCTCAACCCAATGATCAAGCAAGTGAAAGCAATCAAGCAAGTGGAAGCCTACTCTATGTGACCGCATCAAGGCTGGATGTCATGTTTAGTGTGTGCAAGATTTCAATCCTCACCAAGAGAAAGTCATTTGAAGGCTACAAAGAGAATAGGTACTTGAAGCATACACAAAATATTGGTTTGTGGTATCCTAAAGGAGCAAAGTTTGAGCTAGTTGGTTACTCCGACTCGGATTATGCGGGATGCAAGGTTGAAAGGAAGAGCACCTCGGGCACATGTTAATTATTGGGAAGATCACTTGTCTCATGGTCATCAAAGAAGTAAAATAGTGTAGCATTATCAACCGCCGAAGCCGAATACATATCCACCGGTAGTTGTTGTGCACAAGTACTTTGGATGAAGACCACTTTGACTGACGTTGGAATCAAGTTCAAGAAAGTGCCATTATTATGTGACAATGAGAGTGCAATCAAGTTGACCAACAATCCAGTTCAACATGCAAGAACAAAGCACATTGATGTCCGCCACCATTTCATAAGAGATCACCAACAAAAAGGGGACATTTGCATTGAGAGTGTAGGCACCGAAGATCAACTTGCCGATATATTCACCAAGCCATTGGATGAGAAAAGGTTTTGCAAGCTAAGGAATGAGTTGAACATATTGGATTTTCTCAAATACGTGTTGATGCAACCCCACTCACATGACATGCCTCTCCTTTGAGCAATCCAAGGTAAAAGTTGATTGGCATGGCATACATCCTTGCTAAGGACATGCTTAGTGCATCTAGACATCTTTCACATTTAATAGGCTCATTTATGAA